TAGCCAAAAGGTGGAAGTAATCCAAATGTCCATTATTGGAAGAATGGATGGACAAAATGTCATATGCATGTACAATGGAATATTATTCAATATTAATATGGAATGAGGTTTTGATATGGATGAACTTTGAAGACATTAAGCCAAGTGGATGGAATAAACTTATCACAAAAAGACAAATTTGGGGGCTATGGATATAGCTCAGTAGTAGAGTACTTGCATAGCATGCACAAATCCACACTACCACCTTAAAAAGCAAACAAAAGACAAATATTTTATGATTCCACTTATATGAGGTTTCTAGAGTAGTTAAATTTATAGAAAGTGGCATGGTGGTTTCCAGCACTTTGGAAATATTGGTCAAAGGGTACAAACCTTCAATTATAAGATGAATAATTTCATTGCATATGTGTAGTCTATCATCATCTTATAAAGTAGATATATCATCTACTTATAAAAATACTGTTTTATTTGTCTTAAAATTACTATCTTCATTTAAAGACAAAGTTCTAGAATCTTCAGAGTTTTTTAATATTTATTTTTCAGTTGTAGTTGGACACAACACCTTTATTTCACTTATTTATTTTTATGTGGTGCTAAGGATCGAACCCAGGGTCTCACACTTGCAAGGCAAGCACCATAGTGCTGAGCCACAACCCCAGCGCCCACCCCGAGAGGTTTTTTTTTTTTTTTAAGTTGTAGATGAATACAATATATTTATTTATTTATGTGGTGCTGAGGATCGAACTCAGTGCCTCACACTTGCTAGGCAAGCACTGTACCACTGAGCCAGAACCCCGCCCATGGAATCTTGAGTTTTGATGAACAGATGGGTGTTTTCCTTTCATTTAATTTTGAATACATTTTAAATAATGTTATGTGCTGTGGTTACTAGAATGGCAAATACTATGCTAATATGGAGTAACATGATTTTATGAGTCATATTTTTCTCTAATGTTTCTTTAGCATTTGAGCTACTTTTGGCTTCACTGAGTTGATGTTTGCAAAAATTTGCTATTACTCTCCTTGGGTAGTTAAAAAATACTGTTGAACCCATGATCTGATAAATTTAGTTCATATTATTTTTCTCTAAGTTCATTACTTCACAGATACACATATTATATCTCATTTGGTACCTTTTGTCCCGTTCAGACAGCCTTGAACCATTATTTATTAGTTTATTCCTGTTAGCTTATCATTTTACCAGCTGGGAGAGCTACATACATTACAGACTTGAAAATCTTATTGTATACTCTCTCCTGTATATTGATTTATTAAATTCGTGGTTGCTCAATGGGTATAAAGCTTCAGTTATACAAGGTGAATAAGTTCTAGAGATCTGTGGTATAATACACTGCCTATAGTTTACAGTATTATTCATCTTAAAATATATTAAATGGATTAATTTCATGTTAAATGCTCTTAACCACAAAACACACACATACACAAAAGAACACAAAGAAATTTTTGGAAGTGATAGGCGAGTATCTTCATCCACTAGTTTCCCCCCATCATTTTATTTTATTTCTTTGGTTGACACATAAGACTTACATATATTTATGATGCATACTGTGATATTTCGATTCCTGTATACATAGGGTAGCAATCAATCTGGGTAATTATCCTATCTTTCACCTTAAACTTTTATAATTTCATTATGGTGTGTATATTAAAATTCCTCCCTTCTAAATGTTCTGAGATATATAATACATTACTATCAATTATATTCACCTTGCTGTGTTGTAGAGCACCATAACTTACCAAACCTGTTGATCAACCTCTTCCCCTTCTCTCCTCTTGACCACCCTCTCCCTGTCTCTTGTCTTCCCTATTCTCTATGCTTCTGGTAACCACTGTCTGCTCTCAACTTCTATGAGATCCCCTTTTCTGGTTCCACATGTGAATGAGATCATATGATATTTGTCCATACTTGACTTATTTCACTTAATGTTTTCCAGGTTCATTCGTGCTTTTTATGGTGGACTACTATTCCATCATGTATATATGCCAAATTTTCTTTATCTTTTCATCTGTTGATGGACATTTAGGTTGATTCCTTATCCTGGCTATTTTGAATAGTGCTACAAAACCATGGGAGTAGTGTATTTTTGACATGTTGATTTCATTTCCTTTGGGTTTATACACATGAATAGGTTTTTTTAATTGTCTGGTGGTTAGTTCTATTTCAATTTCACTTGTTGTTGATATCCTCTGTCTAAATTATAAACTTGAGTGACTCGGACCTTGCCATTTATGGATTTGTTTGTGGTACTCTTAATTTCTAGTACAGACAGAGCTGTAAAAATAATTAATAATTTTATGGGGAATACAGAGCAGGATATCATTTTACCCTTTCTCACCAATTATTTTCCATTCATTTAATGACTTTTTTCCTAGTGGCAGTGATTCTTCAATTTTACAGTTTCAGACAAAAACCAAAAAGGTTGATTTTTCTCACCATCTTTGATGTTGTCTATGAAGTGGTGCAAACTGATAATTTTTCTGCAAACTGATAATTTTATTCTGTCTCTTAGATTATAATATGGAATGGAAGAGAAGGTGTTATTAGTAAGACATAGTAGAAATTGACTATGAACCAATCTCATAGATTTCATTGTTACTAGGAACTTAATTGTGAAAATGTTTGAATTTTAACAACAAAGATATCAAACTGAGCCCTTGTTCACCTGAGCTGTATGTGATACAACACAGTGACCTTGAAAGCAATTCTAGTTAGGGGCATTTTTTAAAAACAAGTATGCTAGTCTTCCAGTATTACTGTATTTTCGGTTGTTCTAGAGTGGTAGATTTGACTCATTACTATGGTATATTCCATTTCAGAATTTTATCAAAGCTTGACATTAGAACAAATGCAGATATTTGCAACAGTTAAGCTCTTGGAGTACAAATAGACCTGAATCTTCTTTCTCAGAGTGATTTAAGGATTCCTGACCAGTGTGTTGAGTTTCTGAGTTCTCTTCCTTATTTCCTCTGGCTTAACTTCCTTGAAACTCATTGTTTTCTCTGTAATCATATGAATAATAAAAGGTTATATAAAGCTTAATCTAGTAAATTTTAGTCCTCTTCAAAATTCTTAATAAAATATTTACTCTCTTTTTAAAATATATTTGGTTTGAAGGACCAGGGCTATAAGGTGATGAGAGGAACTGTATGAGGGGACAGTGCTAGCTGAACTTAGAGATTAAATTTCTGTGTAGAATTTAACATATTTTAGTACAGTAAGTAATTCAGAGTTTGTAAACTGCTTTTCAGGCTTACCATTAGCAGAATATTAGAATTTTTCTCATTTTATTTTGATATATAAATTAAACTCTTTCATGTATAACAGGACTTATAATAATTAATTCAAAGCTTTTTCTTTGTAAACATATAAGATGAAACCATTTCAAGCCAAAAGTTTATTGTGTGCCTAAAAATGAGCTAATTACTTGATTTATAAGGGGCTAAAAGAAACAGAAATGTATCCACAGCCCAAAATTCTTAGCTGTTTTTTTTAAATAACAGGATGTAAGGTGAAAAGGCATAAATTTAAAAAGTTATTATCACCATGCCTAAACACACAAGTCACAACTAGAAGATATTGTTCACCCAGACAATTGTAAATACTAAGTGAAGAAGGAAATATTCAGTAGGTGATGGCAAATACTGACATTTTGTTGAGGAGGTCATGATTCTTGTGAGCAGAGCACTGAGCCCTGTGGTAGAGATTTAGAGTTATGGTGCATGTTTTCATTATTACTGGGAAAAACTTAATTGTGAAAGTGGTTATGAATTGTTATAAGATTCTGTTAGAAGAAAATATAATGCAAATATTCTATGAGAAAAAATTGTAGCAGCTTGTATTGGTGCAGGCCTGTAATACCAGTAACTCAGGAGGATGAGGCTGGAGGATCACAAGTTCAAGGCCAGCCTGGTCAACTTAATAAGACCTTAAGCAACTTAGTGAAACCCTGCCTTAAAATAAAAAATAAAAAGGGCCCCTGTGTCCAACCCCCAGTACTGAGATAAAGAGAGAGAGACAGAGAAAGAGAGAAAGAGGAAAAGAAGGAGAAGGGGAAAGAGGGAGAGGGAGAGGAGGAAGAGAAGAAGAGAGAATGATAATATATGAATTGTCTATAATCACAGATACTTTTTTAGTTTAATCATTATTATTTCAAGTGTATGTTTTAAAGTTTTTTTAGTTGTTGATGGACTTTATTTTATTCATTTATTTATATGTGGTGCTGAGAATTAAACCCAGTGCCTCACACATGTGAGGCAAGCACTCCACCACTGAGCCACAACCCTAGCCCTTCAAGTGTATTTTTAAAATCATAAACTGGGTTTTGTAATCCAAAGCTGAAACATTTATTCTTCATCACTTTGAACCAACTCTAAGCTCTTAGATTACATCTCTTTGTCCAGAATGGCTTTAAGGAAGAAGTAGGATTTTAAATGTCCACTGAAGAATTAATAGACATATTCTTGTTAAGATAAAATTTGCCTTTTACAGTAGAACCTACTGTACCTATTGTTTGACATGCTTTCTATAAGCAATGAATTGCATTGTAGCACAATAGGGATGAGTATTACAGGTTCTGAAATCAGACTGGATTCAAATTCAGATTCCACCACTTACTAGTTGCATCATTATAACAATGGGATAATAACAATATCTTTCTAAGGATTAGTAAGAATAAAACAGCTAACTACCACTGGAATAGCATGCACTCTGGCATCAAGTAGACGTCAGTTCAAATCCTAATTCTGCTACTTATTAAAGAGCTTAGGCACATTATACTCTAAAATTCAGTTTTCTCGTTTATAAATAAAGATGGCAAAACCTAATTCATAGGGCTTTTGTAATGATTAAATGAAGCAATTTATGTAAAACACTTAACAGAGTATTCAATGTATAGTAAAAGCTCTATAAATAACATTATGTTGTTACACAATCAAAGTCATGCAAGACTTCGTTTTGATCTTTTTATTTGTGTTTTCAGGGTGAACCTGGTCTGCCTGGATACCCAGGGAGCCCAGGCATTAAAGGTTCTATGGGAGACACTGGTTTACCTGGATTACCGGGGACCCCTGGAGCAAAAGGACAACCAGGCCTCCCTGGATTCCCAGGTAAGTATTCCTTTTCTTTTTTTTTTTCTTTTTGTTTTTATTTATTGGTTCTTTTTAGTTATACATGACAGAAGAATCCATCTTGCTATAATTATACAAGCGTGGAATATATCTATTCTGTTTAGAGTCCTATTGTTATAGAAATATTCCTTTACTTAAATGCCTCCTTCTTTCCTTCCTTATCTACTCTAACAAGTATCCTGTAGCAACTTCTTATTTGGCCAACTTGCATTCTATTTCCCAATCAGATACTGATTAGCAATACAGTCTCAAACTAACTCTTTACCTCACTTTGCCCAAATGTTTTTCTGTATAAAATGAGAATGAGTATTACCAACTCAGCAGGACAATATCCTGTGGGAAGACAGACTTGTTTGGTGGAGTGTTTTTCAATCTTTGACTGCTAGCCACAAATCAATTAAGAGGCCTTACTATTTTTGTAGGTGATAATATACTCTGCCAGGCCCTAGCCTACCGCTGATTCTCTTAGAAAATTGTACGCAAGCACACAGCTGGTGGCTGTTGGTAGAACAATCATACTGTTCATTCAAATGGCTGAGACTGAGTCATTCAAGGAAAGGGACTTAGCTCTATAGTCAAGTAGTTAGCCTGAAGTAGATTATTGTACATGCTTCTGTTTAACTTTTTATTTGTCTTTTTAATTGCATGGTGGCATGGACGAGTAGGTTTTGGATTACTATTTTGTTAAACTTTTTAATGAAATATAGCATGAATATATATATATATATATATATATATATATATATATATATATATTAAAGTACCCTGAAGTATACAAGAGTATAGGTGAATTTCTACCTATGTATATGTACCATGAACCCATCATACATGTCAAAATACAAAGTAGTTCCTTTATAAATTTTATCCATGCCACTTCACAGGGAATCCTCCCTCTAAAATAACCATTACTATAAATTCTGTCAACATGAGTTATTTTTGCCTGCCATTGAAATTCATGTAAATGAAATCATATGGTATGTATTCTTTCACTCAACATTGTATCTTTTGAGTCATTTATTTTGTTTCTTGTTTAAGTAGTTTCTTCTTTATCATTGCTATGTAATAGTCCATTGAAAGTCTGCCACAATTAATTATGCATTCTCCTTTTTATGGACTTTTGGGTGTGTCCAGTTTGGGACTATCATGGAAAAGAATGTTCTTAACATTCTTTTACATGTCTTTTTATAGACATAAGTACTGATTTTGTTTTTTTTATTTCATTTTTTAAATTTTTTTTTAGTTGTTCATGGACTTTTATTTCATTTGTTTATATGGGGTGCTGAGAATTGAACCCAGGGCCTCACACATGTTAGGCAAGCACTCTACCACTGAGCCACAACCCCAGCCCAGGCATGATTTCTTTTCTACAAAATCTTAGTAGTACAATTACTGAAATAAAAAAAATAATAACTAAAATCATAGGGTAGGTGTACATTTAACATTGGTAGATGGTACCATAGAGTCTTTAAAAGTGGTTTTATAAATTACAGTCCTATCAGCAATGTGTGATACATCTTGTTATCCATATCCTGACCATCACTGGATACTGTCACTCTTTTTAATTTTTAGCTATTCTGATGGACATGTATTTAATGTTTTGATTTATAATTTTCTCATAACAACTAATGCCTTTTCATATTATGCTATTAGCCATTTGGATAGTATCATTATAAAGTGTCTGCTGAAGTTTTTGTTGTTGTTCATTTTTCTTTGGTTTATTCACCATTTTTTCTTATTAAGAGCAATTCTTTGTATATTTTGGACATGGGTCCTTTATCAAATACATGTGTTGTAGGTATATTCTTCCTGTTCCAGATTTACCAGTCACTGTCTGAATGCTGTCATGTATTAAACAAAAGTTGTTAGTTTTTAATAAATTACATTGTAGCAGTCTTTTCTTTCATGATTAGTGCTTTTTTGTATCCTATTCAGTAAACATTTGCCTATTTAAAGCTTTGGAAATATTCTCTAATTTTTACAGCCTTTAATGTTTAAAACTTTCACATTTAGGTTTATGATCTACACTATTTTATAATGTAAGGTAACAATCATGTTTTTTGTTTTTTTTTTTTTTTTAGTTTTCCCCATACAGATATCAGTTGCTCCACACTATTTTAATAATGCAATTACTCCTTTTTCAGAAATTCAAATGACTGTATTTATGGGGATCTATTTCTTCATTCTGTATTCTCTTCAGTTGCCATATTTTATATTCTGATTTTAATAAAATATTGCAATGCTATCTGCATTCTGTAAATTTATAGTAAGCCTTAAAACATAGTAGTTTAATTAGAGCAACTTTGTTCCAGTTTTTCAAAGCTTGTCTTAGTTAATCTACATCATTTATATGAATTTGGGAATAATTTATCAGTTTCCATTAGAAAAATACCTTTAATGATTTTGATTAAGATAGAAATAAATCTAGATAAATTTAAGGAGAATTGATATTTTAGCAATATTTAATCTCACAATTCAATGTATATGTACTATCTCCATTTATTTAGGTATTTAATTTAATTCGACAATGTGTTGCACTTTTCATTTTATAAATCTTGGTAATCATTTGTTAAATTTATGTCTGGAAATTTAATACCTTCTTATAGTGTTTGCCATGATATTGCCTTTTCATTTTCATTTTTGAATTTTTTTATTGTAAGTAGATAGAAATAATTGATTTGGGAATATTTAACATGTATATATACAGAAATTATTGATTTCATTTATTAATACTGAGTGTGCTAATAGATTTTTTGCTATTGTAAATTAACATCACCTTACATATTACATCTTATTACTTTTTCTTGTCTAATTTCACTGGTTATAATTCCAGCACAATGTTTAATAAAAGTAGTTGTATTTTACATCTTTATCATTTTCATAAACTCAGAGGACTATGTTCACTATTTTTCTATTAAATTTAACATTCTATGTCTTATTATAAAAATTTTTCTATTCCTAATTTATTGACAGTATATATTTATCAAGAATAAGCATGAGGGGCCTGGGATATAGCTCAGTGGTAGAAAAATTGCTTAGTGGATATAAGACCCTGGGTTTGTTCCCTAGCACCACAAAAATAAATAAGAATGAGAGTGAGTTTTGTCCATTCTTTTTTCTGAGTCTACAGAGATTATCATGTTTTTTTCTTCTGTTTATATAGCAAATTACACTAATTGACTTTTTTTGTCAAAACAAACTAATATTGTTGGGATAAACTCCAAGATGGTTATGCTGTATATATTATTTTTAAGTTATTGTTGGACTTTGTTGGGTCTAATTTTTAGATTATGTCCTAGATTTGATCCCCAGTACCACCATATATATATATATATATATTTGTGTTTTCTCTTTCTCTTAATCAGTCTTGCTAGGCATTCATTACATTGTATTTATTGTTAAAAGTTAACTTTTGAATTGTGTTTTCTCTGTGGTTTGATTTTTCTTTCATTGGTTTCTGCTTATATCTTTATTATTTCTTACCTTCTTTTTACAAATTTAATTTTGCTGTTATTTTTCTAGCTTCTCTGATTGGAAACTTAGATAATAGATTTTTCAGTTTTGTCTTTAAAATAGACATGTTTGAAACTTTAAATTTGCATTTTCCATATAAGGAGCATTTAAATGAATTCCACAAATTTTGTTCCTTTGTGCTTTATCATTTAATTGAAAAAAATTGTTCTAATTTCCTTGTTAATTTTTTATGCTATTGGTAGGTTATTTAGAATTTTGTTGCTCAAAATATAGATATTTGGGGGCTTTCAGATATCTTTTAATTATTGTTGTTTTGTTTGATTCTGTTGTAGTCAAAATATATAATTTGTATAATTTAACTATTAATACTTATGGAGACACATCATATGGCCCAGTTTATGGTTTGTCTGGGTAAATTTTCCCTGTTCACTTAAAATAACTTATGATTTGTAATTATATGTATTGTTCTATACGTGTCCATTAGGGCAAATTGACTGATAGTATAGTTAAAATTTTTTATACAATTTTTGTTAATTGCTCTTTGAATTACTATTCAATATGCTCTTAATCTCTTCCACTTTCCTGAGAAATTTTTATTTCCATTTTCTTTTTAGAGTCAACCTTATTTCTCCAAAAATTCTTATTTTTCACCCACTGTATACATATTTGCCTGTAATATTCTTCTTTGTGCTAGATATATTAAGTAATCTAATTCCTTAGATTATTTAATGTATTTACTATAAGTAGTTTAAAGATTTTTTTCTGCTTATTCCAACATTCTAGATATTCATGGGTCTATTGCTACCATTAGTTCTATTCTTATGAATTAGAGTCACATTTTCCAGAATATTTAAATAAATATTTAAATTTATTGTTTATTGAATGATGTGGATTATATTGGATAAAGATACTGAAATTTGTGAAATTTATTTGAAAAGTGCTGAATATCATTGTAGTAGATAGTTTAGTTTCTGAGAATCAACTTGGTTTTGCACTAATTAAATGTATACTTTCCTATGTTCTTTGTCATTAGTCTTAGACCTGAATGTGGGCCTTACTCAATGTATAACCTTTCTGGTGTCACTTCCTTAAATTTATTTTATTTATTATTTCTTTTAGTGAACTCTGTTGGCAGCAAATTATCTTATCACTCTTTAGGAAATGTTCTTATTGTGCTTTTATTTGTTTTTTCAGTTACATAATAGATAAAATATCAATATATCCCCAAGGAGCAGTATTCATTGCTCCTAGTTATTCAGTGAAAGATTGACTCATTTAAGTACTGCTGTACAAAGATCTTGCAGATATAGTTAAATCAGTTCCTAAATCAGTTCCCAAATAGGTTCATTTTAATATACGGAGATAATTCTGGGTAGGCCTAATATAATCACATAAGCTCTTTAAAGACGGAGTTTTCTGCAACTGATAGCAAAAGAAGACATAAGAGGAATTCAAACTATGAAAGAGAATTCCACATAAGGGAGAATCTCCATGCTCATGTAGCAATGGCTCACAGAATGAAAATATGGGTAGCCTAATGAACTTGAGAATGGTTTCCAGCAACCAATCTTCAAGAAAACAGGAGCCTCAGTCCTATAACCCCAAAGCCAAATTTGGCCAACAGCTTGGATGAGCTTAGAAGCGCAATTCCATAGATAAGAGCCTAGCTAAACCAACACCCTGATTTTGGCCTTGCAACATGCTAAGCAGAGAACCTAGCTCATCTGTACCTGGGTTGTTATCTATAGAAACTGTGAAATAATTAATAGTATTACTTTAAGTTACTAGGTTTAGGGTGATTTGTTACACATTTTTTAAGATTTTTACTTCCTTCCCAAATATGTCTGCTAGTGTTTATTTTCAGATTATTTGAATACTTGAATACTTGCTTTTGTATTCTGTCCAGTTTTTAATTGTAATTATTGTGAAAAAGGGCTGTAGTATTGTAATCATTGTGAAAAATAGGCTGCAGTTGACTTAATCCATTTTGGCTGACCCCAAAATTTAGGGGTAAATTTAATAAAATATTTGTGAGGTATGTTCACTAAAATCTATGAAGCCAGCTATGAGAAAAATTTAAATATCAAAATATATGAAGATATATAGAATATTCATGCATTGGGAGATCAGAATTGTTAAGATGCCAGTTGTCCCTATGGTTACCCATAAGCTCAAAGCATTTCCAGCTAATAAACCCTGCAGGTTTTTATAAAAACAATTAACAAACCAATTCTAAAACATGTATGGAAATGTAAAGGATTTAGAACATCCAAAAAAGTAAGAAAAATATAGTTTCAGGACCAGATTTCAAGAAGTAATTGCATAAGGATCAATAAATAAACAGAATATTATGTAGTAAAATTAATTTTTATAAAAGTACCAAATAAATCCAAAATGGGAAAGTATAATCTTTTCAGCCAACTTTCCTGAAATACGTGTATGTTCATATGGGGAAAATGAAACTAAACTCATATGTCACATTGTATAGAAAAATTAATTTGAAATGGATCTTAGTTCTAACATAAAAACTAAAACATCAAAGCTTTTAAAACAAAACTAACTTGAAGATAGGCAGCATTTTCTTTGGATACAGAAAGCAGTGACTATAAAAGAAAACAATATTAATAGGTCAAACTTAATCAAAACTTAAAACTTCTGTATATCAAAGGACACCATTAAGAAAATGAATAGGAAAGCTACAGACTAGGATAAAATATTTGCAAAATGTATGTCTGACAGATTATTAATATTTTGGATTTATGATGAGCCAGACATTTCACAAAAAAGGATACCAGATGGCTAATAAGTATATGCAAAGGTGACCAATGTCATTAACTATCAGAGAAGTGTACATTAACACATTGAGGTGGAACTACATGCCTACCAGAATGACTATTATTAAAACAATTGATAGTATTATATATGTTGTGCAAGGATCTGTAACAACTAGATTTCCTATACATTGTTGTAAATGTAAATTGTCTTGGCAGAATCTTTTATAAAATACAACATACATATACTTTACTCAGGGACCCAGCAGTTTCACTCCAAGATAAATTAAGACTTATCCACAAAATGTCCTGTGCAGAAATATTCATTACCAAGACAAAACCTGATAACCCAAATGTTAAACAGCAGATGAATAGATTTAAACATCTGTGAAATGGAATCCTACAAATTTTACCAGTGTAATATGGTGTTAGATTTTTTATGCTTATGACTATATATAATAAAGGCAACCTCTTGATAAATAATTTGAAAGCTTAATATTATTCTTAAGAATAATATTCCAGAAGTCACCAACATGTTTTCAGTTCCTTTTTGCTCCTCACTATTTCAGTGCTAACACTGTAAGTTTATTTGTTCTGATTAGTTATACATGTCAGTATAATGCATTTTGATACATCACACATAAATGGTGTATAACTTTTCATTCTTCTGGTTGTACATGATATAGGATGATACCGGTCATGTAGTCATATAAGCACATAGAGTATTAATGTCTAATTTATTCTGCTATCTTTCCTACCCCATGCCCCTTCCCCTCCCTTTACTCCCCTCTGCCTAATCCAAAGTACCTCTATTCTTCCCTAGCCCCCTCCCGCTTATTGTGGATTGGCATCCCCATATCAGAAAACACACACACACACACACACACACACACACAATGGAATATTACTCAGCCTTAAAGAAGTATGAAATTATGGCATTTGGCAGTAAATGGATGGAGCTGGAGAATATCATACTAAGTGAAATAAGCCAATTCCCAAAAAACAAAGGCCAAATGTCTTCTCTATCAATATAAGTTTTAAATTTGAACTGTAGCTTTCAAAGTGGTGTGGTATTTCTTTATTTTTCCCCATTCATTTTATTGTTATGTCTTATACAACAATGGATTTTGTTACATATTTGTTCATGTATATGATATAAAAATATAATTTGGTTAAAATCATTCCTCAGCATCGTTGCTTATAGTTTGTAAAATAAAAAAGTGTTTCTGATAGTATTAACCAATATGAGCATGTGAATTCACTTTTACTTAATAATTTCCAACAATGGAAATAACTTTCCAGTGGCAAAATAGGTGTATATTCAATTCATACATAAATATATACATATAAGTTGCTAAGATATAGAGTTACTAATATAATATAGAAAGGCATAAATTCAACCAACTGTATCAACAACACATAAAGGAAATAGTTAAATGTTCAATTGTATACTATAGAATACTATGCATCTATTAGAGGCAATGTTTTAAATCTAGAAAATAATGTGTTCTTTTTAAAAATTAATTAATTTGTTTTAATTAGGTATATATAACATAATGCATTTTGATTCATTGTACACAATTGCAGAACAACTTTTCATTTGTCTGGTTATACATGATATAATGTCATACCATATGTGCAGTCATACATGTACCTAGGGTAATGATGTCCATCTCATTCTAGGAACCCCAGGCCTTCCTGGACCAAAAGGTATTAATGGTCCTCCTGGAAATCCTGGCCTTCCAGGAGAACCTGGTCCTGTAGGTGAGCATAAAAAAATAAGACTTTGCTGTTCTATAAAACTAAAACTTATCATATTCAATTTGGGAAAGTCAAATCATGGTTAATTGTGAACATTTTCAAAGCATGGAAATGTTTTGATCATTCACTTAGTGCTTAATATTAAGAACAAAATGAATGACTTTTAATAAATTTACCTAAAATTATCTTTATGGAACCTTCTTTTCTTGGCTCACCTTTTCCTGGAAGAGTAGATTTGAGTATGCTATAATAGAAGATGGAAGCTCTGATATATTTTTTAGAGGGGGTGAAGCAGATTTTTTTTATTGACTCCTAAAGTAAATCACATATCTTGGCCCATGTAAGCCCTATAATATACCCTGTTACACCTAACATCATACTCTTGTATATTCTATAGTAATTTTAAAATGATAAACTCAAAAGCTTTGAATGCGGAGTGATTAAATTGTTCCTTTATGACATTATCCCCTCTTCTTTTTTCATTCTTCATTTTCATAAGATTTCATGAATTAACGGAGTGTCTCAAAAGCACTTTATATCTTTTGGATACAACTATTTGAAACTAGTATGGGAAAATGGGGTGGATAGAAGGAAAAGGAATTAAAAAGATGGATACAACCTGCTGTATTCTGTTCTTTAGGCAGTGGAGGTCTTCCTGGCCCACCAGGACCTCCAGGTGAAAAGGGCAAACCAGGTCAAGATGGTATTCCTGGACCAGCTGGACAGAAGGGTGAACCAGGTGCTATATTTATTTTAGTTTTTCCTAATGCTCTGATTTCCTTTTTGTTTATTCTCATTCACCCTTTTTATCCATGAAAAAATTACATCATCTTTCTTACCTTCTAAGAAAACCACATACTTTTCCCTCCATAAATATTTTCTTCCTCTTCACCCTGAGAATATCAGCTGATATTTGTTGATTAAGCTGCTTCCTTCTTACTAAAAAAATCCAAATCCTGTCTTGACTAGTTTTTCACCAAAAGAAGTTACTCAGCTATTTCAAATTTATTTGTTTTACTATGCAATCTATATTCCATTTATATATTTTATAAGATAGAATTGTATAAAGGCATATTTGACACCACAAATAGAAGTTTTCTCATGTTAGAATTGTTCTGTGTTAAAAGTAAGTCTTCTGGGACTGGGAATGTAGCTCAGTGGTAGAATGCTTGCCCTAGCATGTGCAAGGCTCTGTGTTTGAGCCCCAGCACCAAAAAAAAAAGAGAAAAAAAGAAATCTTCTGCATGTTTTACCTGATATACAGTGATATATGTTGTAACACTTAATAAAAACTTTAATGTCTGAAAATAATTTGTCCTTATTTTAGTTATATTATCCATTTGATATTTTTGTTTTGTTTTATCTCTGATAGGTCAACCAGGTTTTGGAATCCCAGGACCCCCAGGACTCCCAGGACTTTCGGGTAAACCTTACTAAAACATGCTAAATCAACCCATAAAATGAAAATGTTCTCCAGTACAATTATTTTTCCATCTCTACCATTGAAGTTGTAAAATGCCTATACAAACCCCCAATACCGAAAGCTAGAGCTATACCTTAGAGTATTTCTTATTTAGCAACTTAATATAAAAGTAATTTATATGTAGATATCTCTTCATTGACTTCATCGATAAATGCTGAGGTAATGACACAGAAAGAAGACAAAATTGTGGGATGAGAGAGACTTTTGGAAACTCATTTAGCTATGAGGGAAAAAAAAACACTCTTTTCTCCCCATGGGGAAAAAAAAATGTTAAGATAACAGAAGGAAATCCTGTTGAAATATGTACCAGTAATTAAAATGTTTCTTAAACTCCTTGTTTACGTGTTTTGTATATTTGAATGGATATATGTGCACACATATCTACCTTTGCTCTGCCTTTCCTCTCTAGTGCTTATTATCATTGTAAGCACTAAATAGTGAATAGGAAGATTGAACAGACATATGGATATATATGTTTTTGTACTGAAATAAACATTGGCTATTCTGTGGAGGCTTTTCTCAAACCACAAATATATCTTGTAGAAATTCTGATATCCTTCTCATGATCCCAACATGAAAATTATTGCTTTAATGTGCAACTGTTATGGCTCTTAAGAGTGTTAGTGGTGTAGAAAGAAATGTTAAGAACATTTTGTCTGGATTGTAAATCTTTGATACAGGGGTCTGTAGGGACACAGAGCAACCATTGAAGATCCTTATCTTCCATTAGTCTTAAAATTAGAACATTTATTCTAGGTATCATTTCCAGCCATCTTTAACTTATTCTTACAGATATTTTATACTTTTTAATTTTTCTCTCCTTTTTTTCTCACTGGTTATGTGACCATTGCTCTCTGTTCTAATAAAAGGGTACCTTTCAGGATGCAATCTGTTATTATTTCAGCATTTCTATACATACTCTGATAAATATGTCTAATAGCAGATACATATATTTAATAGGAAGAATGATTTTTTTGTGTGTGTAGGTTTGGGATTGACTGTGGGATAGCAATTACCCTAGTGAATTCATTAGTTGCACTAATAGCTTTAGCCTTATAGGCAACCCTATAATTCAGTACCATTTAATGTGTTCTCTAATGTCATTTTACTTTCATAGGCCAAAAGGGTGATGGAGGATTACCTGGCATTCCAGGAAACCCTGGCCTTCCGGGTCCAAAGGGTGAACCAGGTTTTCAGGGCTTCCCTGGTGTGCAGGGTCCCCCAGGCCCTCCTGGTTCTCCAGGTCCAGCTCTGGAAGGCCCTAAAGGCAACCCTGGGCCCCAAGGTCCCCCTGGGAGACCAGGTATGTTCATGAGTGGTAGGGGAATGCTCTGTTTATTAGTCAATTTATTTAATTTTGCTGGCAGGTTATTCAGTCTTTAAGATTTTAGAATTTATAATGTAAGAACTTATTATGGGGCTGGGGATGTGGCTCAAGCGGTAGCGCGCTAGCCTGGCATGCGTGCAGCCCGGGTTCGATCCTCAGCACCACATACAAACAAAGATGTTGTGTCCGCCAAGAACTGAAAAATGAATATTAAAAAAAGAACTTGTTATAAGCACATAGTTTGATTTATACTTAGCTCCATCTATTTCCATGCCATCTAATTATTCTTTTCAGTAATTACCTTTATCATTTATTTAAAGTTGAAATAAACTAAAACAACTTGGATGGAAAAAAAGGAAATAGTGGTTTATTAGTCTTGCTATTAAAGATAAAGCTATATATATATATTGATAACCTGACAGCAAAATTCCACCTGCATTATATGAACTTCTCGGCATGTCATCACAGAAATCATTTTAGTGATCACCCAATAGATGCTTGTGGTCTATACCAGAAGTGTTGCTATGGTTCTGTCACATGAGCAGCAAACGTCACCAAGCAAAAAAAAAAAAAAAAAAAAAAATCTTTTCTAGGAACTAGGCAATCAAATTTGTCTTTGGCATCACAGCATGATAAAATTGACTAGCTATCTCTTAATACCAACCTCATGTCTATACCTCATTTGTCTTGTGAACACCATTCACTTCTTTAGTTTCTAAATTTTGCATCCAATGTTCACCTTTTCATTTTGTGTCTGTGCTATGTCATTTCATTTTACTAATTTGGAAATGCTCATTTTCAGCCTCGATTAATGTTGCTGAGCCCAGTCACTGGTGATAGGTTATTAACAAATTTGGGGGACTTGGTATTCATTTTTTCTATTTCTAGTAATGAAAAATTTGACCTTCACTGATGTAAAGAAGAAGAAAAATCTAAGTTTAAAGTTGCAAAGCAACTGTCCTTTTATCCTTTGACAATCCCTGACTTACTATTAAAGTACATTTAAAGTGAAATTTTTCATTAAATTTCAGTAAAATCTTGTGATTAGAATTAATTTAATAACATGCTCTAAAATATGAATTAAATGAAATCACATACTATGTTCAGAGGCACCATTTTCAAAATCATATTTTTATCTGATCTTACTTGACTATCCTTGGAGGGTATTATTTAAGGTTTTACCTTTCTTTACTATTACAGAAAACCAGTGAAAATCTCAGCCATGTTAACTCTCTTGCATGTAATATAAAGAAATGAAGCAAGTATCTTGTTTTGCTTGTGATAATTCAAATAAACCAAACTATTATCCTTTATATATTCTAATTAGCATTATGGTTATTCAGTTTTACTCGTAATAGAACTCACTGTTGAACAATACTTTAAAATATGTCAACATAAAAACATTAGTCACAAAGATGCTTTAAAAATTACCATTTTTAAAGAAGTAATAATGGAAGTGCTCAGAAGAACACATCTGATGAGTATTTGACTTCTTGATTTGTTTATAAACTATAAATTTAAATAGAGTTTTGAACCCTGTTGCTCTTAGAATTAATTATTCTTCATCTGAGCTCATAGCAGTGATTATTTTAAAAATGATATTTTTGCCTTCACAAAATGGCACATGTGCTATTTTCATTAATGCTAAGTATTAATGCTAAATGGAGATAATTTGGTTTATATACAAATGCATGAATGTAAACTTTCAGAATATTCTGCTATTGAGTAAAATTTTTAACTTGAAAGTATTTAGTGTAATGCTTTAGTTTCTTGATATTTCTAACAGTTTTGATATTTTTCCTTTTTGTTAATGATGACATTGGGCCTTGGTGAACTTTGACCCCTATCCAGGTCCTCCAGGTTAGATCCTTAACTCCAAAGTAATACCTGCATGAAGTTTGAAACTGTTCTTATATATTTATATACCTATATTTATGTATGTGTGTATATATACATAATGTGTGTGAGTATATATATTTATATACATACACACACTTCTCTTGTATCTAATATTTCATATGTTTGAATATATTTAAGAGCATATATGCCAATTCAATTCTTACATGGTGGCCTATCTCTACAAGTTGTCGAGAACTTTTAGAACCTAGTATTTCCTTTTTTTAATCTTTTTTTTTTTTAGTTGTTGATGGACCTTTATTTTATTTGTTTGTATGTGGTGCTGAGAATTTAACCCAGTGCCTCACACATGCTAGGCAAGTGCTCTTCCATTGAGCAGCAACCCCAGCCCTTAGAGCCCAGTATTTATATTGTAATGACTCCACATTAACTAATTAGGAAAACTTACCACTTCAAAATGCACAAATTTGTGTCCCTTTTAGTTGAAAATCTATGACAAACTGCTTTTGTATGGTATTATGATATTTTACCTTACTTTTGTAGTAGAGTATATTTCTTATCTTTGCCATATATTGGTTAATGCAAATGAAATTGAACTATCAACTAGGCATAATGGTACACACCTATAATCACAGCTACTTGAAAGAATGAGGCTGGAGGGTTACTGGATCCGAGGAGTTTGAGGCCACCCTGATCACATAGTGAGACTGTTATCTAAAAAACAAACAAAAAAGAAACTGAATTATCCATCAAAAAGGAACTTTTTAACAATAATGTGTATTATTAGATCCTGCAGATATATAATCTTTGACTTGGCATAAACTTCTTCCCATTTTGGCTTGTCACATTATTCTAAATTCTACTGCTATGAAAAAGAACTAATAGACTTAGAGTAGAAAAAAATCAATGCAATCAACACAAATTAGAGGCTCTTAAACTTATCTTAATCACACACATGTAAACAGTACAAAACAAAGAACAATTATCAAGAGCTATCCAAAGGAAAATGCTAATTCTTAGTAAGAATTAATGTTCACCTAATCAGAAGTGAAAAAAGTCACAGTATTTGAATGTATTGTCTATTATTTAAAATAAATAGACCTTTTCAAATTTCTAGAGAGGATTAAAAGAGAAAAAAAGTATATACCTGAAACCTGGAAGGACATTTTATCTTCTTACAAATTAAAATTCATAATTTTCAAAATGAACAATTAAGAAACTTAAGCCATCTGTCTCTATCCAAATTGATTCCCTAGTTTCTTACTCCCCTAAAGTCTCATTTCATTGAACCACAGAATGCCAGATCTAGAAGAATTCTAATCTTTATATATATCAAAAAGAAATTACTCATATTACATATTAAAGATGGCAGGACAGATTTTATTGAAGACTACTACAGTAGCAAAGGGATTCCTGAAATAGAAGAGTGTAACTGAGCTCAACTCCAGATGCAATAAAGACAAGTAGAGATTTATTACTAAGGAACAGAACAAGGATATCAGTGATGGAAAAAATATTAAAATCAACGTTGGGGGGGGATATTCTTGCTAAACTGGATTTAATGGAATTCTTGCTAAAGGTGGGCCAAGGGCTTAGATACCAAGGGTGAAGGATGAGGCACTTGGTCAGATATTGAGAGTTGGAGGACTCTCCCTATACTGATTTAGCAGGATATTTGCTGTAAGTGGGCTTGCAGACTATACACAGGCCCAAGGATGAAACCTAGCTGAGAAGAGAACTCTTGGATGCACCTGTCCAAATTTGGTCAAGGAGGGAGTCTTTGTCACATGTGAAAAAACAGAGGGCCAAAGAGTTTAAAAACTTGCTCAAAGTAATATTGTTGGTTGTTGGCATAATTGGAACTTAGGGCTCCCCAACATTTAGTTAAATGTCTATAACTCTAGTGGTACCATATCATACTTCCACATATCCTATGACTTGATGCTTTTAGATCTGGTCTCTTGATCTAGTTATTAATATAAGTTAATGGAACAAAACTATTTATACCATTTCAGGAAACACTCAGCCATAGCAGACTGGGCCTTCAATCCACATTCTTGTTTTCTGTTACCTCAAAATTTCCATCCACCCCTAATAATTGCTTTTCATGGTCTTTCTAAATGGGTGTCAAGAAGGTTAAGATAGTACTTGCAATTTAACTATCATCCAGAGAAGACCACAAGGTACTTTGAAGTAATTTTAAGTCCTGATCTGCCTATCTTGCCTAGAATTCTGCTGCCCTGATGACTGCTAGACTAGACTGTCAGCTACGAGTTTTCTTTTTACTAAGGCACTAAAATATATTTGAAGGGAAAAAAAGAAAAGTAGCCTCATTTACTTTAAAACAGATTTAACAACTTCCCATTTACCAAATGTGCTCTAAATTATAGTTATGCGAACCTGGTCTCTGTGGTTGTCTTCTTTGTAATAGTTGAAGACTGCAAACTTAAGTGAAAACTAGATTTAATATTGTGTGAATGTATAAATATGTAACAACAAGTCCCACCATTATGTTCAACTATAATCTATCAACAAAAAATGTGGAACAAAATAATTTTTAATTTTTTTCAAAAGAAATCTAAAAAAATTTAGATTTAAAATAATACCTGTCAACTCATCAGCTTATCTATAGCAATTACCACTTACATACAAGACTTTAAGTGTTGTTTTGTTTTCTACTTAAACTTTGTTAGGTCGCTTGAAAAACAGTGAAGTGAGAGCCCCATATACAAAATTGATTTGGCATATAACTCATTAAAATGTAACCTTTTAAAAATTGACGTCTTAGAAGTTTTGCTATGAAATTATACAAAATTTCTCTTGCTACTAACTTAAACCAAAATGTCATATTTCAATGAGATTTTTTTCTAAGAGTTCTTGTTTTGAGCCCTTCTATGTCACATATACATGGGTCTATACTTGAACTCTGAACTATATTGAGTAGAAATTATAATTTATTGAACTAATTGCATGGCAAGACTGTGCTCTGTTCTGAGTGCTGACTTTAAAGTTAGTTTGATGTGCATGGTTTAGAAACAATTTAAGCAAAAAAAAAAAAAAGCCAGTTTTAGCTTTCTAAATTTCAAATGATCAAATGTGTTAAAAGCTTTATTATTGGGCAGTGATGATAGTGTTTCTTATTTATGTGGCACTTACATCATATAACATACTTTTATTGTAAGCTCCTTGAGGGCAAAGTTTGTGTCTTACTCATCTCTGTATTCTCTGTAACACCTTGCAACTGGCAGAACTCAAGTCTATCTTTTAAAATTCGGCTTTGATCATTAAAACAATCCTGTGAGGTAGGCTACAGTAGATAACACTATTCCCATTGTGCTCAGAGATTTAATTGAGAGGATGAGGCTGGAGGATTATATAATTGATATATATAATCAGAGTCAAGAATAAAATCCTAGGTCTTCTAACTCCTGGAATCAGTACTTTAGCACAATTTATTCTCTCTGTTAAAATTAAGTGTTTATAAAATCATAGCAAGACTTGTAAGAAAAGGAAATTGTGTTTATAGTCAATTAACACTAACCAAGAGGCATTCTATTTGTAGTCTTTTATCTTTTTATTTAATGATCCTTGTTTTAATAGTGAATAGCCTGTCTTAATATGTGCATTGAATAATAATTAAGTAATCTGTGATATTTTCTGTGGTTTGGGGAGGAATTTGCATGTAGAATTTCTTATAGTACCCCTTCATTGATACTCTTTACATCTTTGGAAAATTGGAATCTTTTATTTTGAAGTTCAGTGGTATACATGTATATATAGGCTTTTTCTCTTTAACTTATGGCAACTAGTAATTCACAGAAGAAAGTCTCTTGATAAATTATGGGAAGAAATCAGAATGTGGCTTCATAGAATAATTTTCAAATAAGATGAACAAAAGTACATGATATATTGGTAATGGCATACTTGTATTTTGATTTTTCTATTTTGTCACAAATGATCTATGTATTTTTTTGTCATTGAGACCTTTAAAGTTAATTATTATCTCAGTCTGAACATATTAAAAAATTTTCACCGGGTTGTTTATATGAAAGAATTGCAGAAGCCAAGATTAATATAAATTCATCCAAAATTACCACTTTGTTAAAGAAACTGAAGGCTGTCAGTGAAATGGTACTATTTTGCCAATTTTAATGTTTTGAGAATCTAACTTTTGGAAAACCACAATAGAAATGTTAACATGTCTTCAGTAGAGTTTTCCATTTTTCTTTTTAATTAATGAATACAGGGAGCTTATTCTCTAGACTAAGCTCAATTTAAAAAGGTTTGGCTCTCTACTCTCCTGTATGGTTCTGTTTGCATACTCATTATGCTGAAGGTTTAGAAATGCTGGCAAAGAGGATTATTGTTTAACTTGTGCTATAATGTGAACCATTTCTAACTCATAATCTTATTTTGTACTGTGTGATGTCTGATACTGCTAACATCGATCTTTGGGCTTTGGTGAACTCTGATCTTCCCAGGTTTTCAAGGTTAGACTCTTCACTGGTCAATTCTTTTTTGTTGTTGTTGTTTGTTGTTTTTAAGCTTTATATATGTGATAAGAGAAATGTACTTTATTTTTCTGTAATTCAGAAATTATTGAACAGTGTTGTCATCCTCAAACAATATCTGCTTGAGTTTTGACATTCTAGTAAAGGTAATATGAGTTATGTAGAATTGTGTTTGAAATTATATCAGGTCTTCGTGGTTTTGATTGTTTATAATACATAATCCTATTTAGAGATATGTTGAATTTTAAATGAAAACAATTTTTACATTATATATTTCATTAAGACAATTATTTAGGCAGGCATCTGGCCCATTTATGATCTCTACATGTTGATTTCAGTTCCTTGAATTTTTTTTCAGCAGGGGGGGCTCACATTGCCCTGATCTATGTGTTCCTGTCTCTTTTCAGTAAGGGAAGAGGGAAACTATTGAATATTGTTAAAAATAAAATCTATATGTCCCTATGTCATTAGTAACTCATTAATATAAATTTAAGGAACCCTAAGCAGCAGGTTTAAATTAACTTAAAATTCCCAATATTTCCTTTTAATTGCAAAAAGAACAACACCCCCCTTTCTGTTTAGTTTTTCAAATGATACAGTTCTGGTAACTTAACTGGGAAAGATGGTCAGTTGTCAAAGAATATTTTCCCCCTCTTAAATCTTACCTTGTAGTCGTCATCAGGATCATTCACAGATAGTTTATTTTTCCCTTAATAAGCTGATTTGCTACCTGACATCTAGTCTAAATCATAAAACTGAAAATTTGCTAGTAAAACCCTATATAATATATTTCAGCTAAGCAACTACGTCTTTGGGCATTTTTTTTAAGTATAAAGTACCCCAACTTTTTACTTACGATTGGGAATTTTTTCTTACGATTTTTGTGTTGTCTGGTTGCCAAGCTAAGATGATTATTTGAATTCAATTGTTTATGATAAAGACAGTTATTACACTGTTGTGAACCTGCTTTATCTTTCTCATGTGCAAGATGGAGTAGTGTTACATAATGAAATTACATAGAAAACTGAAAGATTAAAAACAGGCTCACATTTTTAAATATGTTCATTCTTTCTGTTTTAGTAGTAGTAATAAATATAATAACAGTAGCCGAGCACAGTGGTGCACACCTGTAGTTCCAGCAACTTGAGAGGCTGAAACAGGAGGATTGCAAGTTTGAGGCCAGCTTAGCAAATTATCAGGGTCCTGAGCAATTTAGCAAGACCCTATCTCAAAATTATAAAAAAAAAAATTAAAAGGGCTGGGAATGTAAATCAGTGGTAAAGGGCCTCTGGGTTCAATCGCCAGTACCAAAAAAATTAATAATAGTAACAATAACTATAAAAACAACACTTTTATCTTACTGTGTGCCAGATACTGTGCTAAGTAATTCATACATGTTATTTCATTTAATCCTTGCAACAACATAGTAAAGTAGATGGTATTCTTGGTATTCTTGCTTTCTTTTTTGTGTGTGTGTGTGTGGGTACCAGGGATTGAACTCAGGGGCACTCAACCACTGAGCCCTATTTTCTATTTTATTTAAAGACAGGGTCTGAATGAGTTGCTTAGTGCCTCACTTTTGCTGAGGCTGGCTTTGAACTTGTGATCCTCTTGCCTCAGCCTCCCAAGCCACTGTGATATTGCTTTCATTGTATAGAAGAAATTGAAAGCAAAAAGATTAATAATCATGCTTAAGTTCAAACAGCTAATGAGAAATACTGCTGGGGTTTAACCAGCATTCTACTCCAGGGTCCAGTTTCATAATCACTAATCCATTCTGTCTTGTTAATATGGAGCTCTTCATTCTGAGTCATAAGAGTGAAGGAAACTAAAGTTTAAATTTAATCTCAGAGCAAAAAGATGACCCATTGTCTTTATGTAAACTAAGTATTCTAAATTCATATGACTGTTATAATTCCATAGAAGTAAAATCTATAGGGGTTGGGCTTGTAGTTCAGTGTTTCTCTAGCATGCAAAAGATCCTTAGTTTGATCCACAACATCACAAAAATAATAATAGTACCTACATATTTTCAATTTTATTGTTGAAATCAATAAAGAACTAAGGCTACCAGAGGAGAAAATGTATAAGTGTAAGCTATGTACTGTTGATTACTTAGGACTTTGTAATCATTAAGTCCAGAATATTTAGTCTCAGCCTTAACCACCAATCGCTCTGTAAATATGTAGCATCTATTTCCCGTCTGCTGACAAAATACTTGGCCAATGTTAAGTTCTCCCTGGTGCTTAATGGACCTGGTATTGTTACAGGGATGGGGCCTTCTGGGAAAATGAGATAGCACAAAGACCTCCACTTCAAACCCCTATTCTTGTGATCAAGTCAGAAAGATTTTAGACATTTCACTCAGAGTGTAACAGGAATGAGTTCATTAAAGGGATAGGAAAAGGGAAAGGGAACAGTCATCCGCTCTTTGAGGCCTCTCCTGCATTTCAGTTTTATTAGGGATCCTAGGGAAGTTTCCAGAGACTCCCGCCTAGGTACACTTTTTGACTTTTGACTGATAGCAGGGTGACAACAGACTTTCATGTCCCTGTTGCCATGACAACTGTATGTCACCTTGGCTCCTGCTGATTGGTTCTAATTGGATTCTTAATCATACATTCTTACAGATTTTAGTGTTAAGAGGAATTATCCTTACCTCCCTGAGTTTCAGGATCTGGTCACAAAAGACTCCCCCTTCAGGGTAACTGGGGTTCCTCTTATCAACTTTATTTTGGGCCTGCATTTCTCCTGCAGTGAGCAGGTATTTTGCCAAGGAGTGTGACATATCCTGTCCACTGAGGCCATGCAGGGTTACAGGTAAATTGCTTCTTGGAAAAGAAAGCATGTGGGAGTCAGCACAGTGGGCCCATTTTATAGAATTATTTTTTAACCCTCATGTTCCCACCATCCTTGTCTTTCCTCTAACAATATCTTTATTTAGAAAGACAGGTTTTAAACATAGCATAATGAAAAAAGCTTAGCAGCTCACAGTTGAACACGCCTGTAATGCCAGCAGCTCCATAGGCTGAGGCAGGAGGATCTCAAATATGTGTCTATATTATATGTATATTATAAGTATTACATACATTATATATTATATGCATGAATATTATATGTTATATATATGGGCTGGGGATGTAGCTCAGAGGTTAAGTGCCCCACGGTTCAATCCCTGGTACTCCCTTCCACTAAAAAAGGCTTATCAAAATCCCATTTCAGGGGCTGGGGTTGTGGCTCAGTGGTAAAGTGCTTGCCTAGCATGTATGTGTGAGGCCCTGGGTTTGATCCTTAGCACAACATATAAATAAATAAAATAAAGGCCCATTGAAACTAAATATTTTAATCCCATTTTAAATTATTTTATTTGTTCACAAGATGTATGTAGAATTTTTTCATGAGGCCCTGGGTTCAATCCCCAGTACTACAAATAAATAAACGAATGAATGAATCTATCAAACCTAGGATCTTGAGCATGCTAGGGAAGAGCTCTATCACTGAGCTACATCCCCAGCCCATGAAAACATTTTTAAATAAATTTTAAGAGTACTAAATCAGTAATTTTTTAAAAATATTTTTAGGTGTCAGTGGACCTTTATTTTATTTATTTATATGTGGTGCTGAGGATTGAACCCAGTGACTCACACATGTTAAGCAAATGGTCTACCACTGAGCCACAACCCCAGCCCTAAATCAGTAAATTTTTGACATTCTCAAATATTTACAGGTACCAACCATATCCCTAAAATGAAATTAAAGTTATTTGTTTCAATATCTTAATTACATAGTAACAAAAGCTGAATAAATATAACTTCTTTCAAATAGAGCAGTTTTTTCTTTTCTTTTTATTTTTTAAATGCATTTGTTTCTTTTTGTTTTGCTGGGGATCCAACTCAGGGCCTCACAGGTGGTAGGCAAGTGTGCCACTACTGAGCTACACCCCCAGTCCCAAGTAACTTACTTTTAATCACAGGGAGACAAATGGCTTCAATCCTTAATAACCATGCAGCAGGGGTTCTTTAAGTGTGATCCTGCAACTAGCAGCTTCAGCTTATTCTGGATTTTTGTTAGAATGCAAATTCTTGGGCCCCTCTCTAGCCTGACTGAAGCCAAAATTCTGGGGGTGGGCCCAGGATTTTTTTTTCTGTTTAGTTATACTTTTTTAGGATACAACTTGACATAATCACAACTCAGGGAGTTTATTTTATTTGTGAAACATTGCATTCCAATTCAGTCCTCAGAACTTCCCCCTCCCACTTCTCTCCCTCCACTCCTGTCATCCCTTTTCAATCCAAACTCTAAGTTTACTTCTTTTATTTTTAAAATTAGTGTCCTGTAGATACACCCGATGCCTGAACCTACTGTGTCACTTTCTTGCATGCACATACATGATCAGAATCATTCTATTGTTCTTCTTTTTCCCTGTCCTTTCTTCCTCCTCCTCAGTCCCCTTCATCCAGTTTACTGATCTGGCCCAGGATTTTGACAAGCCTTCCAGGTGATTCTGATATCTGCATTCTCCAATTTCAAAAGAGTGCCCCATTGTGTCTCTTTTCATTTCAGTTTAAGTCACTTTGTTAAGGATTACAGAAGTAAATATAAGTATGTCCTGAGTCCTTTTTTTAGATAGAATTTGTTGGTTTTATTCTATAATCCAGCATTAATAGCAAAAATGACTCAATCTAATTTACATCAGGAACAGTCTGTATATTTAAATGGAATCTCGATTTTATCCCACAAATTAATACAAAGATTATTAATATTTTAAAAGAATGACATTTATGCTACTTGTATACTATACTGAAATGTGGTCATTTGTTGTGCATTATCAAGGTCTACCAGGTCCAGAAGGTCCCAGAGGTCTTCCTGGAAATGGAGGTATTAAAGGAGAGAGGGGAAACCCAGGCCCACCTGGGCCACCTGGCTTGCCTGGTTTGAAAGGAGATCAAGGACCACCAGGACTTCCGGTAGGAAATGGAAATAGATATTTGAGAGAGGAATATGGGTGTTTGCATTCAAAATGAGAATTCTAAGCTATAACATTTTAATTAGTGTTCACCTGAAAAGCTCTAAGTATTGCTCACTGGTGAACTAAAAAAATGGTGAAGGAAAGTTTCCTATAGTCTTCCAACTAAAGGGTTCTTTCACTCTCAGTGAAAGCAAATTTATGCAAAGGAGACATGTATATCAGAACATTGCATGTGCATGAGTCCATCCATAGGGAAGTAATTATGGTAAGTGGAAATATTTTAGACTTTAAATTATACAGTTAGGGTCAAATTTCAGTTCCACTGCACACCTATGCTTTGTGACTATGAGTATAACAGACACTCTGAGTTTTTGTCTGCACCTATAAAAACAGAACAATAGCATATCCACTCCTGTCCTTTCTACCTTGGTTAGAATGATCCAGAGGGTCATATACTTCTTTATGAATCCTTGAAACTGCTTTCATTTATTCAATCAGATTATTGGTAGATTTCACAGACAGTCTGGGCTGTCTTCTAACTGTGAAGGTTACTTTATAGCAGGAAAAAAATATATCATCTAGAAAATAGTGGCTCTTAAAGTTTTCCAGTATCTAACCTTTTCCCCATGGCATCGAAACTCTTCTTCTAGTTACCTAGACTTAAAAATTTAGGGGATGGGGTTGTGGCTCAGTGGTGGAGTGCTTGCCTAACATGTGTGAGGCCCTGGGTTCGATCCTCAGCACCACATATAAATAAAAAAAAATAAAGGTCCGACTACAACTAAAAAATATTCATTAAAAATGCCATCTTAAGTAACTGTATAGTATAGTTGTCAATTTCAAAAAATTGTTCATCAAAATAGTATTTTAATTTCTACCTTTAATATCCCAATTGTTTCAGTTGACCTGGTAATGTCCTTTTTAGCACTTCTTCTTCTAGTACAGGGTCTATACCAAATCATGTAATTGTCATGTCTCCTTAGTCTCTTTCAATCTGGAATGGTTCTTAAGCCTATGTTTTTTTTTTCTTTCATGACCTTAACATAAAAAAAAAAAAAAATTCAGCCAGGTGCCTTGTGCATGCCTGTAATCCCAGCTACTTGGAGGCTAAAGAAGGAGGATCACAAGTTCAAAGTCAACCTCAGTAATTTATTTATTTTTAAAAATATTTTTTGTAGTTATAGATGGGCAGCATGCCTTTATTTTATTTATTTATTTTCATGTGGTGCTGAGGATTGCACCCAATGCCTCACATGTGCTAGGCAAATGCTCTGCCACTGAGCTATAGCCCTTGTAGCTATAGCTACATCCCAGCCTCAGTATTATCAAGGTCCTAGGCAACTTAGGGAGACCCTGTATCAAAACTTTTTAAAAAATGAAAATAAAAGTACTTGGGATGTAGCTCAATGGTAAATTGCCTCTGGGTTCAATGTCAAGTACCAATAAATAAATTAATAATTCAAAAAATTGTAACCTCATCCCATCTAAAAAATGGAATATAATTTCTTTTGTCTGATTTTTATTCATAATTAGATTCAGTTTATGCATCATCAATTGGAATACTACATGGGTGATATTGTGTCTATCTCAGGGTAAAAGAGAAGGGGCCCCCTGATGTCCCTTTGCTCCTTATTTGTGATTTTAATTTTGATAATCTAGTCAAGCTGTTGTCCAGTTTCTTCTCTTTATGGTTGTTATTTTTCCCCTTGGAACTAACAAGCAAAACTGGGGAAAAGGACATTAAGATCATGCAAATATGCTGTTCCTTTTGAAAATTTTCCCTGCATTGAATATCTATCAGTGAATTTTGCCTCAACCAATTTCTACTGGGATAGTGGCAATATCATAATTTTTCCCAACTCTAGCATTCCCTCCACATATACCACCAGTCAACCCTACTGTAAGCAAGAGCCCTCCCTGCTCTCCTATTTATTTACAAACTTTGGATCAGTAGGGACTCAACATTTCTTGCTTTTTTTCAATGATTTATAGATTTTTAAACCATTGTTACTTATTTTCATGTTCCCATTGTCCCAGATTTGAAAGACCCTTTGAAGTGGATCCTGTGACTTTCTATCATGCTTCTCCCCACTTTTTATTTGGCATTATCTTATATTTTGCATAACAGGACATTCTTGACTTACCCCTTTTCATTCCTACTATTACGAGGTTCATTGTTCTACATTTAAACTACTGTAGAAGCCTCTAGAACGTAATACCCAGGAGCATCTTTCACCAGGAGAAGACCTCCTGTACATACTCTTGTTTTTCTAGTGCTAGAGATTGAACCCAGGGGCACTCTGCCATTGAGCTCCATCCCTGGCCCTTTTTATTTTTTATTCTGAGACGGTCTGAGGCTGGCCTCAAACTTGGAATCCTCCCACATCAGCCTCCCAAGTTTCTATGATTACAGTAATATGTCCCCAGACCCAACTGCAATCGCCTCTTAAATGAACTTGCCATTCTAAATTCTTTCTTTAGACTCATTCTAAAGCTATTTTCTACTCTTCTTCTCTCCACACTTTTCATGGTCTCAAACCCAATTAAATAACAGGCCCTACAGTGTGTTTGCTATTGTCTTTCAAACTTTGTCTTGTCTACATGTGATTCTAACACAAGCATTCACCACCTGAGATCTAAACTACAAAGGAAGAGTATTGTTAATAATAAAATAATAATTAACTAATTATTAAAAACATGCTCCATATCCAACCAATTTTCTGAACAGTTAATATGAACTATCTCATTTAAATATATCACTGCCACTGCACAAAGTAATTGAACTATTTTTTCTCCATGTTAAAGTTGAGAAAACTATGAGTTGAAGAAGTTAAATAATCCCACAATGTAATAACAGGTGAAGGTGGGATTTGAATCCTAGAAGCACTCTATAAACAGTGCTATAAATCATTCTCCATTATCTCTACCCTCATTCCCCTTCCTCCCCTCATTTTTTTCCTAACATTGATATTGATGATTTTATTTATTTAGGGTAATCCTGGCCGACCAGGTCTCAATGGAATGAAAGGAGATCCTGGTCTCCCTGGTGTTCCGGGATTCCCAGGTATTTGAAAGGATGTTTTGAGGTTTCCCTTTAAGTGAAACTCTTTTGGGACAAAATACCCGTTTTCTGGTTTGTCTGAGTAAAGGCTGTGGCTCTGCTGCTTTGATGTGTTGGATGCAATGTGCAATTATATGTACCTTCTTTTCAGGCATGAAAGGACCCATTGGAGTGCCTGGTTCAACTGGCCCTGAAGGGGAACGAGGTCTTATAGGGCCCCCAGGTAAGAATTATTCCTGAAGCTAGTTACAACTGATGCTTAGACACATTAAAGAACTTGAAAGTTTGCATTCTATCATTCATCCAAACTGTCATGCATCTAAATCCACAGTTCACTAATGTCATAAACCATTTTATTAATGTAACGTTGATAGCAGACCTTTTAAATTTTAGATACAGGATCAACAAGAATGCTTTAATTGAGATTTTATTGGCTTTTATACTTTTAGCTGAGTAGATCACAAGAACAATCACATATGTATGTTTGTTCATTTTTATATTTAAACAGTTTGTTTTGCTAAGAGGCTTATGGAGGTTTCCTTTAAACCATAAAAGAAGGCATCTGCTACAGTTCCCTACTAGTTCAGTGGGTCCCTTGACAAGTACAACAAATAGTGAATTGCAAATAATGTTAGAAGCAGAATGGGCTTGTCAGGGAATGAGATTGTCTTCCCCTGACAGAAGTGTTTGCTGCTTCATACTAGATTAGATTTTGTAGTAACTGAGTTATGTTCAAGGCTCAAAAATAAAGATGATGTGCCCATTTTTTCTATTGGCCCTAAGAGAATTATTTTTCTGTCTTCTGGTTGAGATAATGGTAGTGTTCCCAACATATTTATGTTGGATATGGCAGCAGTCAAATGCCTGTTTCTTTCATACCAATTCTTATACCGAACTTAGGTCACTTTGGCATTCATTTCTTCTGACTTTTCTTTTCCCCACCTTCACATTTGTATGTTATGCCTCATAGGTCCTCCTGGGTTACCTGGTCCTTCAGGACAAAGTATTATAATCAAAGGAGATGCTGGTCCTCCAGGGGTCCCTGGCCAACCTGGACTAAAAGGCCCACCAGGACTACCAGGCCCTCAAGGTTTACCAGGTACCTTTGTCAATCATGTCTTTAGGCATGTCTACTTAAAACATTTTACAGGGCTGGGGTTGTGGCTCAGTGGTGGAGTGCTCACCTAGCACATGCGAGTCCCTGGGTTCAATCCTCAGCACCACGTAAAAATAAATAAAATAAAGGTATTGTTTCCAACTACAACTAAATAATAAATATTAAAAAAAAACATTTTAAACGTTTCCCTTTTCCATGTCAGCTTGTCTGTGATAATTGGAGTCTCAGCAACTAGTAAACTACCAGATCACCACAGGGCCCATTTCCTTTTTTCTTAAAAATGTTAATTTCATATGCTAGAATTTCTTTTAGGCCTACTAGTATTCCATTTAGCTTGTCTGGTCATTCTAATTTGAAAGACTAATGTTAAAAACACTGTAATGAAATGGACATGCACTTATGGTCTAGTGCTTTCTCCACCTCACCCAATAGAAAGATGTGGCAATTGGGATGGAACTTGGGATCAAACACAGGGCCTCATGCCTGTGCTGGACCACTTACCTACTACTTTCCCAGACTACTTTCCCTTTTCTTTTTTGGCAGTACTGGGGACTGAACCCTGGGTGCTCTACCGCTGAGCTACATGCCCAGCCCTTTCTATTTTATTTTATTTTTTGAGATAGCATATTTATAAATCACCCATGCTGTCCTCAGATTTGTGATCCTCTTGTCTCAGCCTCCTGAGTCCCTGGGATTATAGACCTGCACCACTTTACCCTCTGATTTAAAACTAACTTTGTTCTACTTGGCCATTTGACTGTATGCTTACAGCCAACTTTGATTATACAACTAACTTCAATCTTTTCCCCTTTATTAAATGAGTGTCAGTCTATCCATAAATTAAGTGTACCTGGCAGTTACAGCCCTCCATGTGGTGGAATAGATAACAAAAGTGGGGACCTGCATTCCTATCTGGTTCTCAAGATGAGGAGAGTATAACTACCATATTAAGGGGATCTCCTCAGAGGCAAATGAAATGTTTAAACTAAGGCTGCATTCTTGTCTGCTTCTTTTGTCTGAGCTATTTCTTCACTTCTCTGGATTTAGCATAAAACCAGAATTTGAATGTAGTGTCTGAAGAGCCTTAAGTATTGGCTAGGGCTGTGTAGTTCAATGCTAGAGTGCTTGACTAGCACATATGAGGCACTGGGTTCAATCCTCAGCACCACATAAAAATAAATAAATAAAATAAAGGAATAAAAAAGAACCTTACATATGCTAAATCTATCTGGATGTAGGCTTATTCTATTCACATTTGAAAATCCCATTTCTTTTCCTGTAGGTCCAATTGGCCCTCCAGGAGATCCTGGACGCAATGGACTCCCTGGCTTTGATGGTGCTGGAGGGCGCAAAGGAGACCCAGGTCTGCCAGGTCAACCAGGTAAGACAACTAAAACAGTGCTTCTGATGGTGGTCTTTAAGACTGGGAGGCCTCAGGATATAGGCCTCCACTTAGAGCTCTGAGATCTTCCTTTTGAGAAACAGAGCTGGCTAGTTAATCTAGAGCTCTAGAGGTCACTCAATAATAAACTGCTCCTGATAATATTGACTCTGGTATCCACTAAATTTCCATCTATAGTCAACCTACTTCCAAAAAGAATTTGAGTCAACTTGTAATTTAAAAAAACACTCATGTAAGATTGCTAAAATAGGAATAGAAGATCATAAACTCAGTAGACTCTTGATATATGTTAGCAACTCTAGATAATATAAAGATAACTTTAAATAATATAAGCATAAATAATTTGTATTGGCAAAAAATATCAGTGGCAACAAGGCAGAGTTGTAATACATATGGCCTTCCTAGAATCAACACCCTTCCAATTCATTAATTTCATATTTCCAGGAAAGAAACAAGTAGGTGTCAACCTCATCACAAGTATTGCTATGAAATTTTTTAAAAATCCAAGACTACACGTACATAGTGGTTAAACACCTATATACAAAGAAAACTTTTAAGTAAGCTCAAATTAAGAGACTGAATGGTTAAGGGAAGCCAATAATAGATTGAAATAGGCAATTGGGGCCAGGCACGGTGGCACACACATATAATTCTAGCACCTGTGGATGCTAAGGCAGGAGGATCCCAAGTTCAAGGCCAGCCACAGCTAATCAATAACACCCTGTCTCAAAATTAAAAAAATAAATAAATAAAAAGGTCTGTGTAAAGGGCCCCTGGCTTCAATCCCCAGTACCAATAAATAAACAAAGAGAAACTTTAAAAAATATATATATATAGGCGTTTTGAAAAGGCTTCTACAGGACACTCTCCCTATTTTCTAAACATCAAGGTATTCCTGAGAATAATTTATCAGACAGATTCAAAGGAAAGTGGTTTTTTTTAGCACTGAATCTGGCAGACCTGTAGAAACAACACCCTTCCTTTTTCCTTGATGAACAAAACAGCAGGCTGAAATTTGGTCATGGGAATCAGACTACTTTAGTATAGCAAGAGAATAAATTACATATAGGCTCCCAATCGTATCACTTCTTCCCATCCATAGTTTCATTAACCTACTATTTTAGGGCCTGATGTCTTCAAGCAATGCTAGAGGAAAAACAAATACACTTAGATCTCCTTGAAAACAGAAACCATATGTTTATTACTTGTAATTGGTGCTCATGAAATATTATGATGGCTTTATAGACACTGTAAATATTGAATAAATTAACTAATTAAATGAGGTCACCATGTTTTGTCAATAGCCATAGAGTGGGTCAGATCTTACTTAGTCTTGTATACTGATGATTTCATGGAAATAGGTACTCGTGGTTTGGATGGGCCCCCAGGACCAGATGGATTGCAAGGTCCCCCAGGTCCTCCAGGATCCTCCTCTATTGCTCATGGATTCCTCATCACACGCCACAGCCAAACAACTGATGCACCCCAGTGCCCAGAGGGAACAGTCCAGGTCTATGAAGGCTTTTCTCTCCTATATGTTCAAGGAAATAAAAGAGCCCATGGTCAAGACTTAGGTAAGATAATTGGCAAATTATTCTTATTGTGCATTTTTGTTTTGAAATTCCTGTTGGATTCTAGGGTAACCTTGGACAAAGTAGATCACCCTTTTCTTTTGTAGATTTGAAATTGAAGACCACGTCAAGGTCAACTGAATATATATCCTGTGATTTTTAAATAAGTAATATTTAAACATAAAATAAAGGCATTAATTAGCTAGTGTGAGGTATATTCCTTGGCCTAAAGAAAAGTATTTTTCAAAAGGGCCACATTTACATTCAGTTAGCTTAGTTATTAAGGAAAATTAAACTGTTCTCTGTAGTATAGCAGCTGCCTGAGTGGGCAATGTTAATAATTCATGGAGGATAGTTTCCTCTTCTCTGAGACTGGTCTTCATCAAGTTGAAAGATAAATTCTGAAAAGACTTAGTTCCTAGATCCAAGAAAGTAAGGTCATTGCTTAATTAAGCTAGTTTGTAGTTCCTAAAACAATGCCTTAGTTTTACAAAATATTATCAGAGTAACTTAAAGTTATATAAAACATCATATTTCCATGTAGAATCTAGTTCATTTCATGTGTTTCCATGTATCTTTTCTATACTGGTATGGGCATCTTGGTTGATGAAATGAAGCTGGATTGGATGACTTTCAAGGACTTTCTCATTCCCAACATTTCTTTTCCTGGAATTTTGATGTTGGATATTGTGATCTCATTATTTGACCCCGGGCTCCTATTTAGAATTTACTATTTTATTTGTATAAAGACATTTAAAGATAGTCTGGGTTTTTAGTTTCTGGGATGTCTATACTTGGACATCCTGAGTTTTATCCCTGGTAGCAATATTTATTTATTTATTTATTTATTTATGGGGCTAGTGGTGTTGCTTAGTGGTAGCATGTCTAGCATGCATGAAGCCCTGAGTTTAATCCCCAGCACCTCAAAGAAAGAAAGAAAGAAAGGGAGAGAAAACAAATCTATTTGTAATAAAAGTTTACCTTTTTGTTTAGTAATTGTCAAAATTTACAGTGTCTTTATTTTTAATCAGTTGTAAATTAATAATAATCATGATCGATCAGATCCATAGAACACCATTAGAAATTTTCAAGCACTATGAAATTATAAAAAGTAATTCAAGACTGAAATGTGGCTCAGTAGTAGAGTGCTTGCCTAGCATGCTTGAGGCCCTGGATTCAATCCCCAGCACTGGAAAAAATATGTAATGCAAAGAGGGGTCTGTATTAAATATCAAATTTCTAGTTAGTGAAATTAATTTAATTTAATGTCTTTAGATAATTTTATCTAGTCTTTCTCCCACAAAATTTTCCTCCTTTTTGTACTCACTTCACTGACAGAGTCTAGCTTACAATGAAAATAAAATATTTAAAATTGGGCATGGTGGTGCATGCCTGTCATTCCAACAACTTGGGAGGCTGAGACAGGAAGATGGCAAGTTTGCAGACAGCCTCAGAAAGGAAAGACCCTGTAAGTAAGTAAGACCCTGAAAGTAGTAAGACCCTGTCTCAGAAACAAAAAGGACTAGTGATATAGCTCAGTGGTAAGGCACACCTGGGTTCAATCCCCAGTACTGCAAAATAAACATATAAGTAAATAAAAAATAAAATAATCAACCCATAAAGACTTATGGTCATAGAATGTTTAACAAAGTTATTTTATTTAAATTTTTGCTTCAATAAAATATAATAAGATGATTAATAAAAGATTCCCCAAAATAAAAAAAAAAATGAATTAGGATTAAACTATGTGAAAGTAATGGAATTGAAATATAATTTCCAAATACAAATGGAACAATGTATAATTTTTAACTATTAAAAATAATTTCACACATTTTTAAATGGTAATGTTAAATTTCAAATTATTACATTTGCAGTATTTAAAACAGTGATGCAAAAATTTGCTTTTAAATATCAGCATTCACAAAACACCAGCAATGACAACTGGCAATGTAGAAATGTTCTTTGTAAAGTCCTAGACCCTGATATTATTAAGTAGACTATAAAAGGTGGATTTGGAGCTGAGACACAATAACTAATAGCTTAATACTTGCATGGTATCAGTTTCACTTCTGATGAAAAAAATAGATATCATATGTGAGAGGGAACCTAATTTTTATCAACTTTTTGTGAGTGAATGGAAACAGAAAGGCTCATTTTTTTTTTTTTATTGTTGGTCGTTCAAAACATTACATAGTTCCTCATACATCATATTTCACAGTTTGATTCAAATGAGTTATGAACTCCCAATTTTATCCCGTATACAGATTGCTG